AAAAAAACAGAGCTTAACGAAGTAAAGCTACTAACCTGTCAATTCTGTTCTTGAGCTTCAACAAGAATTTCTCGTTGTCCTGGTCGGCAACTTTAACAAGGCGGTCGAGCAGAACTTTCCTTTCCTCGACGCCGAGATTCTGGACGTCGATCTCGCTGAGCTCAGTCTTGGAAGCGCTGGCCAATATGCCTTTCCTGAGCCGATCGTAAGTGGGAAGCTTCTCCAGGGCAGCCCACTTCAGGGCTTCTTCATCGTCTTCTTCTCTGGAAGAAGCGGAGAACACATCGGAAGGATTGTTTCTCCAGACGGAGGCTGACCCGCCTCGCCGCAAACTGTTCCTGGCTTTGAACAGATCGCCACCCTCCATTTCTGGGGAGCAATAACAAAGAAAAAAGGGTCTAACACCTCAAGAACAGCTGCAGTAGGAAATGATGAGTTGGTTTGTTGAAAAAATGGGGAGCAGAGGAAATGGGATGGGTGAAGGGTTTTTGGTGAGGTGTGAGATGGCTGTGTTTTTCAGAATGGGAGGGAAATCGAGATGGTTTTATACGGGGCGAGGGCGGCGGAACGGTCGTGAGTCCTCGTTTCGGATCACTGTTGTGGCGGCCATTGAATTGTCAAACTTTCTTTTCTTTCTTTTTTGACAACTCACCGGCTATTGGTCAATAACTTGTGTTTATTTTATTGGGTTTCTGGAAGATGGGGAGGTCTAGTAAAATGGCCAAGTCAATTTGATCGCCGAATTTTTATTTTTATTTTACAGTCCAAGCCTTTTGATTTTTTTTTTTAACAGTAAGCCATTTTTTTTTATGAGACGGGTGCAAGCACCACTACCTCTTATTCATAAATCGATTGAACGGTAAAACCGCCAACAGAGTCAAACATGGTCCAATGACAAACATCAGTGTCCGAAACAGGAACAGAGTGAAAGCCCGGGGTCAGAGAGTGCCCCTTGTGAGCAAGACAGTCGGCCAAAAAGTTGGCCTCCCTATAGATGTGAATGATACGCACATCCCAGTCCCTACGAAGCAAGGCCTGGAACGATAAGGTAAGGTTGGCATGCTGGTGGTTGTGCTGTCCTGAATCCTGGAGAAGAGACATCGCCGACCTAGAATCGAGCTGGAGCTCCACTTGTCGATGTCCTGCTTCCCAATCAAGCTCAAGACCCTTCAATGCCCCCCAGTAAGCCATTTAAATTAAAAGGAAAAAAGCAAAATTGTCTGCGTTTTTTTTTACAGTAAATTTATCTTTTATTCCAACCCCAATACGTAGAAACAAGGTTACATCCATCAAAGGAAATCAGAAATTAGATCAAGAATACTAATCCAGTTATCAGGGAGAGAAGATCTAGTCAGCGATCGTGCAACCCAATCGGCTCTACCATTAAGTTTACGTGCAATCGCCTTGACCTTAACTTGAGGGTTTGCTCTTAGGATTGAGATCATTGATCCAATCCAAGCCGCTCCTCTCCATGGCCAACTTCCCGGATCTTGATTTAGAGCTTTGACCAACACCTGGCAGTCAGACTGGACAACACACTCAGTGCCATATTCTTCCGCTAATTTGAGAGCTTCTAAAAGAGCTTTTGTTTCTGCTTCAATTGGGATGGAACAAAGGAGAGTGTCAGCTCGCTCATCACACACTTGTCCATGTTGGTTAATGACCACAACACCATAAGCCGCCGGCTGGGAATCGCTAAGGAACGGCCCATCACAGTGAATCACCAAATTGAGATTGCTTGGCGGTGGAGAAGTAAGTGAGTGGGCTCCCCTGAGCTGAGGATGAGGAGAATCAGAGAGGGGGCTCCTCGGGCATGTCTTCCATTCAGTGAACTCCTTATAAGTTCTCAAAATAACGTTCGGATGCCAAGGGATCCGATTCCTGAACACGCATTCATTCCTTGTCTTCCAAATATTCCAGCATAGGAAAATAACATGAGTTAGAGCATCAGGAATGATGGCATCCTTCAGGTAGAACAGCCAGTCAAGAAAGGCAGTAGCCTGAGCCGGGATAGGAAGGTAAGGGAAAAGAGAGTTCCACGATTCTCTTGCGTGGTTGCACGAGAAAAGGCAGTGTGCGAGAGATTCAATAGGGCATTGACAGACTTGGCATGTTGAGTTTGGGGAGCATTTCCTATGAAAGAGTCTCTCTTTTGTTGCCAGCCCATTCTTGGCACATCTCCAGATGAAAAATCTAAGCTTTGGAGGGATGTCCAGGTTCCACATCCATTTCCATTTTTCAACATTCTCCTTCGTTTGAGGCACAACTGAGGACGAGTCAACCGCATGATAAGCAGTCTTGACCGTGAAAGTTCCTTCCTCCTTAAATCTCCATGCCCAGAAATCCTTGGAGTCAGCTTTCCCAATTGGGACCCTCAAGATAGCCTCCATTTCAGAACAAGAAACCTGCCCTTGGATCAAATCATTATTCCACTTTTTGTTCCCCGGGTCAATCCAAGAACTGACTCTAATGTGATTCTGTGGTCCACTTTGGATGCTAGCCTTGGTAAGGAAAGGAACCCAAGGGTCTTGATCTATTAATGTATCTTCACCTGATCTAATCACTTTAACTACTCCCAAATCTAAGACTTTCTTGGACTCGTAGAGACTGGCCCAAATCCACGATGGTTTGCTTCCCTTTTTTGCCGATAAAAAGTTACCTCTTGGGAAGTAGAGTCCTTTAAGAAGACAACTCCAGAGGGAGTCAGGAGTGGTGAGAAGTCTCCAAGCTTGGTTTGCCAGAAGGGCAAGATTGAAATCTCTAAAGCTTCGGAACCCCAAACCACCTTCTGACTTTGGGGTACACATAATCTCCTTCCTACACCAGTGTAAACTGTTTTTTTGCATCTATCATGACCAAAGAAAGTTGCTGAGGAGTGAATCCATCTTCTTCGTAAGGGACACCGGTAAGAGGAAGAGGCACATAATGAAAGACGGGATAGCCTGAATCACCGATTTAAGGAGGACCTCCTTCCCTCCATGAGAGAGGTGCAGGCTCTTCCAGGCTTCCCCCCTCTTCTCCATCCTTTGGATGAGGAAGTAAAAAGAATCTTTTTCTGAGTTTCCCCACTCAGTTGGGACTCCTAAATACTTTGAATGACAGTTAGAGGAGGCAAATCCAATGTGGGTAATAATGTCATTCTTCTCTTCTGTGGGAACGTTGGCACTGAAGAAGGCGGAGGATTTGTTGATGTTGACCTCTTGTCCAGTGATTGAACCATAGTCTTTGATGATGTCCAAAATTCTTTCAGCCTCTTGAATGTTAGCTTTCCCGAATACGACTGTGTCGTCAGCAAAAAGGCAATGAGTGAGTGTAGGGCATCCTGTGTTGAGCTTAATTCCCTTGATGTGATCTTCTGCCATTGCCTTGTCAACCAGGAAGGTGAGAGAATTAGACATCAAGATGAAGAGAAAAGGAGATAGAGGGTCTCCCTGTCTAATGCCTCTAGACGGGCAGAATATTTCTGACGCTTCTCCATTGAACAACACTGAGAAACTAACTATTCGGATACAAGAGCTAACCCATCTACACCACTTATCATCGAAACCATATCTCATAAGAAGGGTTTCCAAACACTCCCAATCCACCATGTCATAAGCCTTCTTCATATCAAGTTTTAGCATCATATCTCTCCTGTTTCCAAGTTTGTGGTTTTTGAAATGATGTAAGATTTCATGGACAATGATGATATTATCTTGAATGAGGCGACCGCCCGTGAATGCTGTCTGAAGCTCAGAGACCAGAGACGGGGTCCATTTTTTCAACTGGGTAGCCATGATCTTTGAAATGATTTTATACCTGAAATTGCAGCAACTGATGAGGCGAAATTGACCTATGCTCTCCGGGTGGTCAACCTTGGGGACTATCACAATGTGTGTGTCATTCCATCCCACAGGCATAGATGTTGTCTCAAAGAATTCCTTAACTTCTCTGCAGAGAGTCTCTCCAACCGTGTCCCAGTATTTCCTGTAGAATTTTCCCGAGAACCCATCCGGCCCAGGGGCCTTACGAGCCCCAAGGGAAAAAACAGCTCTCCTAATCTCTTCATTGTTGACTGCTGCACAAAGGTCCTCATTCATCTCTGTTGTTACCATCGTTGGGAATCCTTGTAGGAGGTGGGTAAAAGCACAAGGAGGTCTGGCCTTGAAAATGTCTTTGAAGAACCCCACTGACATACCCTTCAGTCTTGTCTCATCCTAAATCCAATTCCCCAAATCATCTTTCAGACGTAGTATTCTATTTTTATGTTTTCTGAGGATAGTACTAGAATGGAAAAAGGAAGTATTCTGGTCACCTTTTTGAAGCCAGTTAACTCTAGAGCATTGACTCCAGAATGCTTCCTCTTCTAGCCAAATTCTAGGCAGTTCAGTTGTGATACTCTTCTCCTCCTCCACATCTTCTTGCATTCTTGGAGGCTGCTGGAGAAACTCAAGCCTTGACACTATTTCATTCTCCCTACAGACATTATTCTTATGGAAGTCTTTTGACCAAGTCTTTAGTTCTCTCTCGCATTTATTTAGTAGACTGCTAGAAAGACCACCTGGATCCCATTCTCTACAGACATGGCCTCTCCTCTTCCTTTCTTCCTTCATCCTTGCACAAGTCGGCCAGTTATGTCCGATTCTTCCACAAAAGTAACAAAGTTCAACTAGCCTTTCATACTTGAAGGTGATTTCTTCACAATAATCTTGACCTGTAGCTTCATCAGTAAACGGAAAATCAAATCCCGTTGGGACAGGCTCGCATAAATCAACCTCCGCCAGCATCCTGCTGAACCTTCTATACCCATTGAAGTGAAGACTAGCTCTGTCCAAATCAATGAATTTCGAGAAGTAGAAAGTCCTGCTTGAAATGATGTTCTGCTCACAGCTCTGGCTTTGGTGAAGGCCATATATTTGTACCCACACCGCCAGCTTGTTCATTGGTGCCGCTTCTGGGTCTCCTCTACCATCATACTTCGCCAATGTCGTCATCGTGTTGGAGAGGCTCCATGGTCTTTCCTACCAAATTTTCTCCCGAATTATGGCATCATTTAAGGTGAAGATGAAGAGATTTTGAGCTTGGGTGGGCTGAACTCCGACTTCTCCGTATTTTCCCCACGCATATCTTGCTGCCCCTGATGCCTTTGCCAGAGCCACCTTATTCTCCATTAGCATTTTCCCCAGCAGCATCGAGATACTCCTGCCAGCATTAGTAGTCAGTTTTGGCCGGTCTCCTCTTCCCCCTGAGGACGAGGGGTTGCCGCGTTCTGTGCTTAGTCTTCCTGCTCGCGCTGCCAATTCGTTGATATCCATTTTGCTTTTGACTCCCTCTGTTACTTTAATTTTTTGGTTAGGGAGAAGCTTGGTAACAGACAGATTTGGTGAGAGGAGGAAGAAATATGTGAACTCTGAGGTTGAAGAATTCTGCTCTGTGTGTTTGCCCTTGCTCTCTTCTTTCTTAATAAATACTCTGCCTCTTAGGAAAAGAGCAATTACTTTCTCTGTATGGTGGTAGATATCCTTCTTATCATCTTTATGAAGCCTTCTGGACAGGAGATTGTACTTTGCCTTTACTACTTCCTCTGCTCTTGGCTCAAGGTTCAGCAGAGGTAGATCTGGCTCTACCGCCGAATCTTCATCAAGAAAGATTTTGACCATCTTCACACTCCAAACCTCTACTTTCCCCCTGCTAGTTACCCTGCCATGCTTTTCAATCCCATCCGGAGGCTTCCCATGTATCTCCCCTTTTTTCCTTACCTTTACCAAAACAATGACCTCTATCTTAACAGTAGAATCTTTGGACTTTAGGTTTCTGTCTTCTCCTATTCCCCAAATCACTTTCATAGAAGAAGAAGAAGAAGAAGAAGAAGAAGAAGGGGGATAGCCGGGACATAGGGAGGCTTTGTACCTGCTATAGTAGAGCTCCAAAAGCTGCTCAGAAGGAGCTGGAAAGGTCTCGGCGACGGAGACGGAAAACGGAACTATTGGGAGTTCAGAGAAAAGAGCCGTTAGAGAGAGAGAGGGAAACCCCATTTTTGAAGAAAAGCTTCAAAGTGCGCTTAAACCCAAATCCAAATAAAATAAAACAAAAATTCTAAGCAAATCAAAGAAAATGGGTTGCTTTCCTTCTCAATCTCCTTTCCATTGGGTTTCTTTCCTTCTCAATCTACTTTCCATTGGGTTTTTTGCTTGTTAAAATTTGGGAGATTGGTGTGGGGACTGAGAAAGGGTGTTTGTTTTAAATTGTCTGCGTTTGGATCAGGGAATTTAGCTCAAGTGTCTCAAAAGTAGGACTGCCTATTTGGTTCGGGTTTTTTAGTTTTACCCGAAACTGGACCATATAACCCGGATCGAGACCGGATAGTAAACAACCCAATCCAATATTTGGGCTTAGATTTGAGGTAAAAAAAACCGTTCGAGACCGGATCAAAAACTGGATAAAGACCGGATAAGAGAGCTCAACACCCAAAACTTAAGGGTAATTTGCATAAACGGTCACAAACCTTTGCACTTAGTACAAAACTTAACCAAATCCTCACCCTTTCAGGCCTTAGGCCACTCAAATCCCCACAAACTCAATATAAAATCAAGATCGAGTTGGAACCGGACCGGGTCAAGACCAGACTGTATCCAATCCAATCTTTGGTCCTTATTCAAAAAGACCGGACTGGACAGGATCAATTTGGGCCAATTTAACCGGACCGGACCGTATAGCCACCCCTACTCAAAAGCAAGGTTGTCAACCCGCGGGTTGACCCACTTTCACCCTAACTCAGTGAGAAAAACGGGTGTCATGCACCCGCCGGGTCGACCGCTACAAGGTACCGGGTTGGAAGTCAAATTGTGTCATTTTTTTCTTTGGTTTGCGAAATGCGCCTATTTACCGATTTTTCTTTTCGCCTAACTCAATTTTTGGAATCATTGGTTGAACATTTGAATATCGATCTTATATAAGTGTGTGCAAATTTTCACTATATGTTGGATCTAAGTACGACATGTTACTTTGGTGTGATGTTATATGTTATTACTCATATGTTAGATGAGATTTTATATAATTTATGAGGATAAGTACAATATAATGACTCTTTCCATATTTCCGGGCTACAACGGGTGACCCGTTTACCCTTGACCCACTAGCTCGACCGGGTCCGGGTCAACCCACGGGTTGACAACCTTGCTCAAAAGGAAACAATTAAGTCAAATGGTATCGTTTGGAAACATTGAATAGAAATGCAGCAATTTGAACTGATGCAATTTGAATTGCTTCGTTTTGCGGTAATTTGAATTGACAGAGAGAGGGGACAAGTATTTTTAAATGACGCATCAATTGATCGATGAAGTAATTTCGAGGGAATTTGATCAAATTAACTCATTCACTATATTCATCATCCAAACGACCCCTTTGTTTTTGTTAGCCATAGGGAAATCAATGTTAAAACAATAACAACAACCGATTTACGTGGTATCCCCAATAATCAGGACTAATCCACGGGAGAGCTTTGAAGACTCTCTAAGCTACTGATCATATTATTGTGTGTCGTACATCACCAACTTGGCCACATATATACATACACAAACCCTAGTTCACCCTACAGCTCACGTACGCATGGCCTTCATGGGCGTAAAGTCTATCAAATACAACGTGTATATATATAACATGGGCTTCTTATACGTATACAGACTAGGTGGGCTAACAGTTTTCCCCATTTATGTTAAGAACCAGTCGATCCCAATAACTCGAGTTGTTGGGAGATGTTCAATCGTGGATCATATACCACACACTAACAAGCCCCCTCAGACGAAAGCCACACTCACAAGGGCTTGAAGTTTGCACATGTCTGAAGACAAGAATACCATGTGCTTAACAAATGGGGGCAACCGGGAATCGAACACAAGACCTCTCAGTCACAGAAGGCTCTGATACCATGTTAAGAACCAGTTGATCCCAATAACTCGAGTTGTTGGGAGAGGTTCAATCGTGGATCATATGCCACACATTAACAATTTAGACTTCCACTATTCTGCGAGCTCTCCTTCCTATTCGGCTTCGTCGCTGAGAACGAGAAGGTATGGCAACTTGGTATCAAAGCTCTTCTAGTTCTCGACACCAATATTGGCGACCGCAACTCATATGGTATAGTTGAAGAAACGGTTGGTTGGTTGGTGTAGTAAACCGGACTACCAACATCTAAGGTCGCTTGAATGCCTTCGCAAAGCAATTGAAAGAAATAAGTTTATAGATTTGCTTTCGGATGGTGGTCGTCATTATCGAAGTCAAGCGGGTAGTCTCATTTATTTGATTTCTACTCGTCCAAATTTGGCCTACTCAGTTCATGTGTGCTCCGTGGCTCATCTATAATTCTATATGTTGTTCACGTGATCTTGCGTTATCTTCATGGTACAAAAGATGTGAGATTGTTTCTACCTACTACTAGAAATCTCACTCTCCAGGCCTGTACATATTTAGATTATGCAGGTTGTATTGACACACGTTGATCTACCTGCAGTAGGGTGGTTTGTATGTATGAGAAAATCCTTCGTATCATGGTGGTGTTAGAAACACGATTGAGTTTCCGAATCCTCTACTGAAGTAGAGTACAAAACCATGCTAGATGTTACATTAGAATTAGAATGGTTACAACGTTTTTTTATGACTTGGGAGTCTCTTGTGCTCTTCTTATAGAGCTCTACGGTTCTCCATGACCATACAAAACACATAGAAGTACATGTGTAGAACACGCGTAACACAAAAATAATCGTATAAATATGATAAATAAAATACGATCGGTCATGGTTCGATCGTCTGGACTTATTGGTTGGCCATGACCCGTTCTTAAAGCCCAAGAGTTTTAACGAGATGGGAGGTCCTTTTCTGGTCGTCTTCAACCTTAAACCAACACGATCATATACCTATTGAGAAGCAAACACAAGATAGAGAAGGGTAAGGAGAGGAACACATACACATGATTTTTTTTAACCGACATAAGTTTTAAAGGTCAAGAACGACATAAGGACACTAATACCGCAAATTTGAAAGAAGAACAAACATGACAGACAAAGAGAACAATAAAAACGAATACTTGCAAAAAAAAAAACTAAAACTTTTCTTAATTACTGAGTAGTAAGCATTAATCTCAACCAATACATTCTGAAGTAAATGTGATTAGTATTTTTTATTGCATGACAAACGATTAATATATTTTCCTTGAAACTTGTCGAAATCGGACAACCATTAGTACGATATTGTCCGCCTTCGATCAACCCCGCACGGTTTTAATTTTGGGTATCCTCCCCAAAAGGCCTCGTACTAATGAGCTTGGTGGACACTTATATACAAGGGTCTCTTCCCTTATATTATCGATGTGATACTTGGATTGTCCCATAATAATCATCTCCTGAAGACAAAGACCACGTACTTCGTGTACTCCCCTCAACGCTTATATTGATTTGCCAAACCAGATGTAGATCACCTTTGATCTACCAGACAGACGCGGACCTTCCTTGATCCGTCAAACAAACGTAGATCTATTCTAGATTCACCAAATAGACGCAGATCTATCTTGAGGTCACCAAATGAGGGTCCCACCAAACTAACGTCCACCTCCCTGTACAGAACCATGCTCTGATACCACTTGTCAAAATCGGGCATCTCCATTAGTACGATATTGTCCGCTTTGTGCCAAGCTCGGACAGTTTTACTATTGGGTATCCTCCCCAAAAGGCCTCGTACTAATGAGCTTGGTGGACACTTATATACAAGGGTCTCTTCCCTTGTATTATGGCACGACCCGAAATGTCATGACCGTGTTGATCGTCTAAAGAACGCTGCCATCTGGTTGTCTTGCCACAAGAGGGGTAAAGGGGGCGATATTAGCAATAACTTGTGCATCGTTCTGGCCGAGTCAGGATGTGGCTATGAAGGGGATCGTTGCAAGAGAAGGCACAACTGGTCGGAGGCTATTGTCGTCTCCCTGATGAGCCCAAGGCAGGGCGAAACGAGTTGGCATGCGTATGCAGAGAGGCTGGTCTTGAGGAATGAATGCACCTCAAGACGCCGCACGGACTTCGGAAGTTTATGTCCGTGACAAGTGGTACCAGAGCCTGGTTAGGCTGAAGAGCCTAGTTCCTCTCTCAGTACGGCATAGGTCGAGTATGGGCCGACCTTATGCCCGAATGATAGGCGGTCTTGGGTGTGCATATCAGGCGGTCGGGACGCAGATACACATGTGTTGCGCCGTTGTGGGGGACCTCAACATGCTGAAGATGCAGCGGCCGAGAATGTTGTTCAACCGAGGAAAAAACACTAGCGAGAGCGTAGGGTGAAGGTCGATTGAGGTAAAAACACTGGGATTAGCGTAGGATGAAGGTCGACTGAGGTACTAGCGCAACAGAAGCAAAGAGTGAAGGTTGATGTAGAGGGGCGAAGCGGTATGTGCGCGGGGCACGGCAGGCTAGTGCAAGAGACGCGACCGAAGTCTGTCCATCAGAGGATGGTATCGTATGCGGACGCGCACAATCGTTTCGAGTGTTGCAATACATGCTGCGGAGAGAAGCATTCTTCACCAGTACGAGGACGTGCTGCATTATGAGTGGTGGAGAATGTCACGACCCGAAATGTCGTGACCGTGTTGATCGTCTGAAGAATGCTGACATCTGGTTGTCTTGCCACAAGAGGGGTAAATGGGGCGACATTAGCGATAAGGCGTTGTCTGCTTGTGCATCGTTCTGACCGAGTCAAGATGTGGCTATGAAGGGGATCATTGCAAGAGAAGGCACAACTGGTCGGAGGCTATTGTCGTCTCCCTGATGAGCCCAAGGCAGGGTGAAACCAGTTGGCATGCGTATGCAGAGAGGCTGGTCTTGAGGAATGAGTGCACCTCAAGACGTCGCACGGACTTCGGAAGTCTATGCCCGTGACAATTACCAATGTGGTACTTGGATTGTCTCGTAACATAACTCTTTACTAAGTATTATAGGTTGAAATAATTCATGTCGTGTATGTTATGTTGGATATTCTCTTCAAATGATTCTTTAATTTCATCTTCCTTGAAACCCTCTTATGACTTCTGATGTTTCATGCGCTATTCAAATGGGTTACATAATAGATAGATAGTTAAGGTCTTTGTCTATTTTGTGTAATCAATTCATTTGTTTGTTTCGTGAATTTTAGAAATTCGTTCGACTTTTATAATTCTCTTGCTCATATTTTTCCATTAACCATATTATTATGAAGAAATTTAGTGGTGTAAGCTTCTTGAAGTGTGCTGCAACATAAACGTCAAATGAGAGATATTTTAGTTTATATAAACATCATTATCTATTTATAGTGTTCATCTCTTGCCGATTAATTCTCAATGAAGCTTTATTGTTTTGAAACTCCATGTAGGAGCATAAAATAGTACAATTTTTTTACCACCAATTTGTAGATTATTTCATTTATTTAATTCTTTTTTTATAGAGCAGTTAGTCATAAATATAATTCAGAGTTACTTGGTTTAATATGAACTGACCTTAGTAAAAAAAAATTATTAAATAGGTCCGGGTTTGCATGGATGCATTGATATAGTTAGATGCATTATCACGATGAGTGCCACAGTAAAGAAAAAAAATCATTAATCCCTTTTTTGTTCAAATTCCTTCTTCCAAACGCACCCTCCGGTCACCACCATCTTCGGTTGTCGTCGCCATCATCGCTATTGTCGCCCCACACGCCAATTACGTCGGAGGTAAGATCCCCACCACCTAGATGGCTGGCAACGTGTAAAAGGCCGATGACGTGTGTGTCAGAACAGAAGCGTGGCAATCGATAATCCAAACCAATACGAACGAACACAAATTTAACGTGGTTCACTAACACAATGTGTGCTAGCTAATCCACGGGCAGGAGAGAACAAATTTCACTGATTTGAGGAGAGTACAGGTTACAAACCAAATTCCAAACGGACAAACCAAACAAACTAACCTGACTGACCTTACTACAGACTAGGGTGATGAAGAGTATTTATAGAACTCTTCTCCTAATCCCAAACAGAAACCCAAACACTTTTTCCCATACATACAAGGAAAAGGTCAAACAAAACCCAAACACAAACCCAAATAAAATAGGCCTAAAACACAAAACAAAACCAATCAAATTCAAGTCATATTCTAACAATCTCCACCTTGACTTGAATTCTCTCTCAAATACCAAATGTACCAAACGCAACCAAAGTTGCCAGATGTACCAGATGTACCAGATGCAACCAAAGTTGCTAGATGTACCCAAACGCGATACATATTGCCAGACGTATCCAAATGTGATCGAAACCGCCAAACTCAAACGCAATCAAGATTGCCAGACATATCCAAATGCGATTCATATCGCCAGGCTAAACGCGATGCAAATCGCCAAACTCAGATGCAATCAAAATTGTCAGAAGTACCAAACTCTCCAAATCAGCTAGACCAGAATCTCCCCTGCCTCCAAATGCCCCTAAGGGCGGTCAACAAATCAAAACATGCAGCAAGTCCAACCCATGTTGGGACTTGCCATGCAGAACCAACTTGGTGTTTCCGTGCATAACACCAACATCAAATTTACTGCTAACTCCAAGCCTGCAACTCCAAATTGACTTCTCGATCTTCATACTGATAGCAGCCATTCTTACTATCAAACAAACTCCAACCAAACTCCACAAAGCAAAACTTCAGTCCAGCGCCAAATTCCCAAAACCGCAACCAAAGGCTCTGATACCACTTATCAGAACAGAAGCGTGGCAATCGATAATCCAAACCAATACGAACGAACACAAATTTAACGTGGTTCACTAACACAATGTGTGCTAGCTAATCCACGGGCAGGGGAGAACAAATTTCACTGATTTGAGGAGAGTACAGGTTACAAACCAAATTCCAAACGGACAAACCAAACAAACTAACCTGACTGACCTTACTACAGACTAGGGTGATGAAGAGTATTTATAGAACTCTTCTCCTAATCCCAAACAGAAACCCAAACACTTTTTCCCATACATACAAGGAAAAGGTCAAACAAAACCCAAACACACCCAAACAAAATAGGCCTAAAACACAAAACAAAACCAATCAAATTCAAGTCATATTCTAACAGTGTGAAACACACGTCGTCGGGGATGGTCCGATGAGTTTTACACACGTCGCCGCCATGGTCCGACGGGTGTTTCACTTCAGCGACACTATTTGCATGACGATCTCCTCTCCTCGACGGTGGCATAGGGTCGATGATGGTCGGCGAGGCTGGGCGATGGCCGACGAGGGTGGACTCTAGTTGAGAACGATGGTCGGCACGGGTGGTTGGAAACTGTGGTCGGAGAAGGCTTTGTTTGGAAGATGAAGGTTGTGAATTTTGTTACGAGGGGTATTATTGTAGATTTCAATATTTAGGGCTACAATTTGTCTTAAATGTATAAAATTAATTATTTCATAAATAAATATATAAATAATAGTAAAATTAACAATTTAATTCATAAAATACGGATAATAAACGTATTATACGGGTTTAATACGTGTTTAGTACGAGAGTCATCAAATGAACAGAGAATAATAAAATGGCTTGATAATAATACGGATACGGAAGTTTTAAACGGATAAAATACGTACGAGTACTTATAAGTGTATTAAACGGAGTATTTACTAATTATGGCTACAAATAAGGTAACTTAGTAAATATATTGTATTCAAATAATACAAAAAAAAAATTTGTACCAACCCACCACAGAGCAGTGGAAAATTCATGTAATTAATTGACTCACATATTCCCTCCAAAATTTGTACCAACCCTCTCTCGCCCTACTTGTTTCTACTTGTGGCGGAGGGGCTGTCTGCGTACTTTGCGAAGCAAGAACAGAGAGGAAGATCCATGGCATCTCTGTTGCTGGGGGTGCTCCGGTGGTGTCTCACCTCTTTTTCGCTGACGACTCTCTCTTTTTTGCTAGGGCTACAGAACGAGAAGGCCTGGAGTTACGTCGAATCCTACAAGACTACGAGAAGGAGTCGGGGCAGTTGGTTAGTCTGGAAAAGTCGGAGGTGACGTTTAGTCCGAACGTATAGCCGCACCAACGTCTCCAAGTTAGCTCGATTCTTGGTATGAAGATAGTTGAGAAGCACGACAAGTATTTGGGGTTGGTGACTCAGGTGGACAGATCCAAAAAAGAATTGTTTACCTATCTGAAGGACAGAATTCGAAAGAAGTTGTCGGGTTATAAGGAGAAGTTTATGTCAGCGGCGGCTAGGGAAGTTCTTATCAAATCAGTTATCCAAGCACAGTTGACGTATACAATGGGAGTGTTTAAGGTACCAGAAGGTATAATTGATGAGATCCATAGTATGATTATGAGGTTTTGGTGGGGACAAAAGGGGGAGGAGACACGAATTCCTTGGATTGCTAGGGAGGAGTTGATCGCGCGGAAGCAAGAGGGCGAAATGGGTTTTCGGGACCTTAGGGGCTTCAATGTAGCTTTGTTGGCTCGACAGATGTGGAACCTGTATCAACGGCCATCCTCGTTGGTTGCTAGATTAATGAAAGCAAAATATTACAAGAAAAGCTCAGTGTTGGATGCGTCCCTAGGTTACCGGCCTAGTTACGTATGGCGGAGGCTAATGGGGGTGCAGGAATTCCTTCTTAATGGTCTGCGATGGACGATAGGCAATGGTGCTTCGGTACGTATATGGGGAGATAGGTGGTTGCCATCGACTCCCGGTTATATTATCCAGTCGGCTCCGATGGGGTTGCCAGTGGAGTCGGTGGTTCGCGAGTTGATCGAGGAGGAAACTGAACAGTGGGATGATACGTTGCTTGAAAGCTGTTTCCCTACAGCAATGGTCGACGCCATCCACCAGATTCCTCTTTGAGGGTCGACCGAGGAGGACCGGCGGGTGTGGGCGGGCAGTCGGAATGGTGACTATTCAGCTCGAGAAGGCTATAGAAAATGGCTGGAGGATTTCAGGAATGAGAGGGGACGTGTCATGGTGGGTGAACCTAGCATATGGAAACGCATATGGTCGTTGCAAGTTCCACCTAAGGTGCGGGTTTTCATGTGGCGGTTTGCTCGTCACTCTCTTCCCACAGGTGATCATTTAAGCGAGAGAAGCCAACGCCATGGAGACAAATGTCCTTACTGTAACTTAAGGGAGACACAATCCCACCTGTTTTTTTATTGTTCTTGGACGAGTCGGCTTTGGCGTGAGTCCCATGTAGCTCACTGTTTCATGCTGAAAGGGACGCGCGACTGCTTGGAGTGGTTTGGCCATGTTGGTGCAAGTGTCTCGGATGGGGAGTTGGAAGATTGGTGCATGCTCCTTTGGATAATATGGAGGGAACGAAATGCGCATGTGTTCAATGGTACGAAGCTGGCGGAGGGATATATTGATGAAGGCGTGCTCTATCCTTGATGAATATCGGCAGCGCCAAGTCCGGGAAGAGGTAATTGCGGGTGAACAGTTGGAGGGAAAATGGAGGGGAGGATCAAAGTAAATACTGACGCCGGTTCGTTTACGAATGGAGGAGGTTTAGGCGTGGTCATCCGGGATCACGCGGGACGCTTCCTGTTGGCTGCAGCAAAGAAAATTAGAGGAGTACCCAACCCGGAATGAAATGAAGCTCTGGCGGCTGAACTGGGGTTACAACTGGTAAAACAACATGTGCTTGGAGTACCGATCCTAGAGCTGGATTGTTTAACAGTGGTTAAGTCCATAAGAGAAGCAGAAACGATAAATATGGAGCTGGGGACGATCTGTCAAAGTATAAGACGACTGTTGGATTCGATCCCGGGTGGAAGGATAGAACATGTCAGCCAGAAGGCGAATGAAGCTGCGCATATTATGGCCCATTCAGAGACGAGATGGAATGTGGCGGAGGTTTGGTTTGATCGCCCGCCAATTTTTCTGGTCGATCATTTGAAACTTGATGATGTATTTATGCCCATAAATCAATAAAGCTTCGTGCAGATTTCAATAAAAAAAATATTGTAGCATGTCCAAAACTAAAGAATACTTAACCAAAGATTCATTTTAAAATCTAACCATATTCACCTCAAATATGACATTACCTCCCTTTAATACTAATTGAAATACATTTTATATCGATCCGTTGCAGAACGCGAATCAATTATCTAGTAACTTAAAAATACAAGTTCAGTTTGACTATATAAAAGATTTTTTTAGAAAACCAAAACACCGATGTATGATAATATTCCTATGTTATTAAATACACTAGTTTTTTGCCCGCGCTTTGCAGCGGGAGAAACTAATTATATTTAAAATTTCATCCACATATTTAATGATGTAGTAATTCATAAAATTTGAGTAAGATATCACTATATGCTCAATGTAGTATCTAAATCATTACTAATGAATTATGCCATAAGTTTGTTCAAGTGATACATAAGAAATATCTATTACTCCATAAGTTTAAGGTAATATATTTGTAATTTACGTAACTGTTAATGAAGGGTGTTACGTAAATATTTCATAATGTGTGGTCTAATAATAAAATTAAGTTATGAAAAATATCACATTTGATTGAATTGTCATGTAAAAATGAACTAACATTGTGAAATATTTTCATAACATATCTGTTAATAAACTTTGTTATGTAGATCTTTCATAAACATGGTCTAATAATAAAATTAATTTATGTAAAATATCACATTTGATTAAACTATCATTTAAAAGTTAACTAACATTATGAAACCTTTTCGTAATGTAACCGTTAACAAATATTTTTATGTAATCTTTCATAATGTGTGGTCTAATAATAAAATACAGTTATGGAAAATATCATATTTGAATAGCATTCTAATATGAGGAATTGAGTATAGGAGATAAAATGTTATGTAAAAAAATAATTGATTTTGAAAAATCATTGTATAATGCAAATAAGGAAGAGCTTACGATGAAATTGGGCATAGGGAATTAAAACTATGTGAAATGTACCCCGTTGGGAATCTATTACTTACATTGCTCCTATTTAAACTGTCATGTAGAACTTAACTAACATTACGGAACCTTTTCGTAATATAAATTGACGACATGGTGAATATTTTATTTAAAAATAAAATATTGTTAGTCAATAATCAAGAAAATAAATTGTGAAAAATGTAATATTGATGAAACTGATATAGGGAAATAACCTTTGTGTAATCCAATTTGATGTGATAGTCAACATTTTAGTTAATAATAAATAAATTTTCATTCAAACTTATATTATGAAGTACTTACGTAATGAGTTTATTTAATTAATACATAATAAATAACTATCCTTTTATAGCAACTATGCAAGTCCTAATCATTATGGATGCCTTATCTTTCTTTCTTTTTTTCCGACAATAGATGACTTATGGATGACTTATCTATTGTGTAATTGATACATAAGAAATCGACTGAAAGGAGAGGAATGAAGTTGCTCGACTGAAAGGAGAGGAATGAAGTTGCTCGACTGAAATGGATGACTTATCTATTGTATTCGTAATGTACGTAACTCATACAGAGCAATGTTACGTAAATCTTTCGTAATGTGTGGTCAGTCGATAAGATTTATATAAGAACCTAAGATAAAATTGGGTATATGTAACAGTACCCATTGGAATTTTTTAATTACCTAAGATAGAAACTCTTGTGTCTTGTGAACAGTACCCATTGGAATTTTTTAATTACCTTGTCCCTATTTTTTCGTATGCAACAGTAAACTAATGTTTGGCATGCTTGGTCTTTTAATATAATAATCTACGTAACTTTTATAGAACAGTATTACATAAATTATTCATAATGTGTGGTTACTATATAAGATTTAAATATTGTATTCGTAATGTACCTAACTTTTATTGAACAGTGTTGCGTAACTCTTTCGTAATTTGTGGTCTAATAATAAAATAAAGTTACGAAAAATATCATATTTGAATAACATTTAGTATATGGGATTAAGTGTAGGAGATAAAATGCTATGTAAAAAAAAATTATCTTGCAAAATTATTGTATTATGCAAATAAAAAAGTGCTTACGGTGAAATTGGGTATAGGGAATAGAAGCTCTTGTGAACAGTAATTTATGGTCTAATAATAAAATAAAGTTGCGAAAAATATCATATTTGAATAACATTTAGTATATGGGATTAAGTGTGCTACATAAAAATAATTGATCTTGCAAAATTATTGTATTATGCAAATAAAAAAGAGCTTACGGTGAAATTGGATATAGGGAATAGAGGCTCTTGTGAGGACTGAGGAGTACCGCTGGGAATTTTTTAATTACATTGCCCTACTTTTTCGTATGCAACAGTAAATGGTTGCTTGGGCTTTTAATATATTGATTTTGGGTACCCTGCTACTGCTAAGGAATTGGCTTTGAGCAACGCTAGCTAGGTATAACGAAGGGGATTTCTTTTTAAGTTATCTTGAGCTTCCACCTGTTGTTGGGAAAGTATGTTATTTTGATTGATAACTAGTGGGATAAGGTCTTGGAGAGAAATATATTGCCATATGCAAGAAAAGCCAATTAATATCTTTACTCTCTACTTCAACACTGAACGAATGTTTTCGTTCTCTGAAAAAGGTTGAGCCACAAGAACGAAAAATGTGTTCTGACTCTGTTTGGCACTGGTTTGAGCAAGCATCTTTGGGATTTATCTTAATTCCCAAATGAAAAGGAGGACTTGGGCTCAAAGATGTAGTTATACGGGACGTTGCTTGTGCCACACATCTATTATATATGGTTGCTTTTAACGCAAGCAAGGTCTTTCTGAGTTGCCTCGGTTCATTGACATCATTTTCCGGAACGATTTTGATGGTAAGAACTTGTAATCTTATTGACTAGCAAAACAATTTTACAGCAGCACATATATAACAGGCATCAGGCTCTCTCGCTCAAATGTTTATAAAATGAATCAACACAAACTCACTAGTTTGCTTATGTTACTGTAAAATAGGCACAAAAAAATTGTAGGTGACGGGCTTCAAACAGATCTATCTTCTCTGGAAGTTGAAAGACCTGATTGAGTAGGCAAAGATGAAAGCAAAGGTGGCAACTAATCCAACCATGACGGCAGCAATTACTCCCAGGAAATCATGCTTGAACCCGAAGTATCTCCGCAAGAAATCCTCAACAGCTTCCCCAGTTCCTTCCATCGGCGTCCTCACATCTCCATACTGCGACACGATCAGCCCGTACAATGTCCACGAGATCGGGTTGGCCCAGTAGTTCCACCTCCACCACACTGGAATTGTCTGCACACAACACCAACATTCACAACATGGTCAATCACAGGCGTCTACTACTTTTAATTCATCGATAACGATGACTGATGCAAACTATTTAGACTTACCGGTCTGGGGATGATGAATCCTGCGAACAGATTCCAGATGGAGTAGAAGAAAGTCGAGATGATGGAGGCGATGTGGTGATTCGGTGTGATTGCGACGCTCATCATCCCATAGTAGGTGAAGTAGAGGAGGGTGAAGTACATGATGAAGAGATACCACATGACCTTCTTGACATCCCACTCGAACCCAATCATGGCGTATGTGATCAATCCATAGACCAATGCCTGAGCTAGGACGTACGGAATCTCGATGATCATCTGTGCATAAGCATATGGCAGAGCTGAGTACATTCCTGCTGCTCGCTCCCTATAGAACACGGTCCTTTCAACAGCCACCACTGGCTGTACTGAGGATGCATTCTGGACACCTAGGAACAACACCGCGGAGAACATTGCTCCCATGGCATTGAACAGGTCTTGGTTCCTAGATGTTTTGCCACCTAGATCCCAGAACATGGTACCGAACATGAGGGCTATGAAGGTCGTGAACAAGAATCTGACCGCGGTGTATGGAGGGTTGCGCCAGTAGGACCAATGTTGCTTCCATAGGCAAGCCATGCACTGTGTCAAGAATGGTTGCGAGTATTTTGTTGGGAAGTAGAGTTCTTTGGCACCAGGGGCTGCTTTGCTCAGGTCCTTGATGAGTGCCTTGTTCCTCTTGTAGAGGTCTGAGTTTCTGTAAATATCGGTGAAATCGACACCTAGAGCTATCTCTTGTGTTGTGGTGGTCACCTCTAACATCCAAGTTGCTGGGTTGTAACCGTCTTTGATCTTGCTCACTCCTTCAATTTCCTCAAAGTATTTCACCAAATGGGCGGATTGGCGTCCCAATGGACCCACGTATATCTCTTGCCCTCCTCTCTTCAATAGGAACAACTGTAAACAATTGCAGAAAACAAAGTTTAAATGTGTAACCAGCATGCGTGGAGTTTCCTTGCTTCTCACATAGTGATGCTAATGGAGTAATGATTTTTTACCTCATCAAAAGCTTCGAAGATGTCAATGCTGGGCTGATGGATGGTGCATACAACAGTTCTACCGGTGTCCACGGTGTTTCTGACAGTTCTCATGACAATGGCAGCAGCTCTAGCATCCAACCCTGAGGTTGGCTCATCCATGAAGATGATGGATGGATTTGCCACCAACTCGACCGCAATGGTAAGCCTCTTGCGTTGCTCAGTGGTCAACCCGCTCACACCAGGGAGTCCCACCAAAGAGTTACGCAATGGGTTTAACTCCACAAGGTCCATCACTTCTTCAACAAACATCTGTTGCATACATATAAATGGAAATTTAGATAGATTCATTATCCATATACGAATAGATTAAAAGTTAGAACAAGCAACTTTGCTGGGGATGGAAGCTTACCATTCTCGTTTTTTTATCAACTTCTTGGGCCAAACGTAACCAAGCTGAATAGACTACAGACTCATAGACTGTAACTTGTGGAGAGTGGATATCATTCTGCTCACAATATCCTGAAATCCTAGCAAATGTTTCTTGCTTCTTGGGGAACCCAGAAATGGTGATGTTCCCTTCAATGTAGCCACCGGTTTTTCTTCCAGCAAGCACATCCATGAGAGTGGTTTTACCAGCACCACTAACTCCCATCAATGCTGTCAAAACACCCGGCCTAAAAGCACCACTAACACCCTTTAGAAGCACCAGCTTATCTTCAGCAACACCTTGGGCTTTCATTTCCTGCAGACCAAATGAAAAAAAGAGAAATGCTTAGTTACTCTAGGACGCAAATGACAAGAACCAAGCCTGCTACAATACTGCTCTGTGAAGTAACTAACCTGTGGCATATCAACAGAATATATGACATCATCGAAGGTGATGGAGTGAGGCTCGAATGGAAGAACCATTCCTTTCTTCTTGCTCCCATTGGTCTCATCATCTGATGCATCCGTTACACCAGTCCTGTTTTGTGACATCTCAATAGCTCCTGCTGAAGCGTTGGCCTCAATGGAGTCCGCAGGTATGACCGCCTTAGGCTTCTCGAATTCTGTAAATATTTAACACATCGAAGCAATATTTATGAGGACAAAGATTTCTTGCGGTAGAATCATGAACTTGAACAAGGAAGGAACTTGGCTGAGTTACTTACGATCCAAGACAGTAAGAGCAATAGCAAAAACGATGTTGAATAGGAACAGGAATCCTACAGTTGCTCCTACTCCTAGCCAATACCAATGTGGCTCTGTGAAGAACGCACGGGACTTCAACACTTGAATTCCCAGTGATTCTGTCGAAGTCGAGTTTGCTGGAACCTGGATTTAGGGAAGGAAATGAAGATGAAATTAGTCCACTGAAGAGCCAAAACAAAAGAAGTCAGATAGGAGCGAATTTGTAATATAATTGCAGGTGAAAATAAGGAAGTTACATGGCTCCAACTGTGTCCAAGGAATTCATTAACGGCTATTGCATTCTGCCCGTACATCATGGGTGATGCCCAATACGCCCAAATCCACCATTTCTTTACATCCTCTGTAATATTAAGCCAAATAGTTTAGGTTTAAGACATAAGTACTTTCGATGAACATTTAAATGCCAAGTACAAAGGAAAACAATGTTCACCAACCTCGTGATAGGATGAATCCACTCAATGCAAAGAGAAGAAGCAGAACAAATGATCCAAAGGTGTTGGCAACGATCATGTTTCTTCCAGTTGCGGCAATGAATCGGAAAAGAGCAGATGCCATTTGATTGATTGCCACCAACACAACATAAAGCCTAATCAACCTGCATTATCAATGTCAGAACACATGGTTATTTAGAAACAATTAAGTAATACAGAACCTCAAAACCCAAAATTACTATTACTATGATCCAAGAACCACTAAATTACCTTCCAAAGTTGGGATCAAACCCAATGACATAGTAAGTCATGAAGACCCAAACAGCAACTTCAAGGAAGGTGACAGGAATCTTCAGGATCCATGGCGGGATGGAGTATATCCATGGTGGGTAGAAAAACAGATTCCTTTGCTTGTAAAACACAGGGAGCTTTGCGATGGTCATGGAAAGCTCAGCCATTCCATTAAACATGATCATAATAAGTGTGAAGAAGAGAGCACCCACGAAAATGCCTCCATCTTGGATTGTGTCTCTATGCATTTCGGTCCGGAAGAAGACTGTCATAGCCATCAATGCCATGATGAAAAGCTGAGTAAGCTTGAATACATAGACGAAAGAGTTCCTCTTCATGAGTAGTAATTCTCTTGCAAAGTTAGCCTTGAGCAACTCCTTGTTTCCTATTCCATACTTTTTGGTTGCCAAAGCAGCAGGGTGGCTCTTGGTTCTGTCATAAGGAACTGACAGCTCATCTCCAATCTTCCTTCCTATATGGAAGGACTGGAACGCCTCTGCAAACTCCTTCGAGGTTATGAAACGGTAAGGCTGATCCCTTCTAGCCCAATACTGCTTCTGATCCTTCTTTGATGTGACCTGAAAAAAGCGGGGGAAAATATTCATAAGTTATCCATTTTGTATACTGTTTTGCCAATGCCTGTATTTTCTTCCAATTATATACTCACTTCTTGCAAGAAATCAGCAACTCCTTTCCTGTCAGGACACTTGAAACCCATGTGCTCAAAGAACTCGAGCACATTTTCTCGAGGGCCTTGATACGCAACCTGTCCATCTGACACCAGGATGATGTCGTCAAAGAGGTCGTATGTCTCGGGAGCAGGCTGGAGGAGGGAAATGACTGCAGTGCCATTGAGGATGTGATTCTGCTGCTTCAATGAGTTCACAATCTGGAACGTTGTGGAACTGTCCAAACCGGTCGATATCTCGTCCATGAACAATGCCCTTGCTGGTCCAACAAGCATTTCACCTGTAGTGACACGCTTTCTTTGTCCTCCAGAGATACCTCTGATCATTTCATCACCCACAAGTGTGTCTGCACAAACTTCCAGCCCTAAGATCTGTATCAAGAAATGGATGATTATAAACTTCCAGCCCTAAGATCTGAATAATGAACAGTTAAAAGAGCTCCCAACAACTTAATGATACCTTTAAAACATAGTCTGTGACCACATTGCTTTCCAGGCCTTCTGTTGCAGCAGCCTAATGGTATCAGAACATTACAAAACAGATATTATGTCAATTCAATTAGGTTCGAAAGTAACATAAATAAATCTCAGACCAAATCAAATTTGGAATTTTTCAACTGTGACATTATAATAATACTTTTAGTTATGACTATATGGCTACAAATACTGATAAGCCTTCTTGACCCACCTTCATGAAGATATCAATATCAGGATCAGGTTTGATATTTGCTGCCTTTTCTCTTCTGGATAATTCAGCCAACATATCTGCAAATTTTCCCCACAACATGTTGTGATTTAGCTAGCAGCCCATAATTGAACACCAAACGAATCGAAAGATCAAGATGAGAGAAAGAAAGAACAAACCATGAAGAGATCCAACTCCTTGTACTCTGGCCGCGAAAGCCAAAGTTTCCCTAACAGTCAACTCTCCCATGTGAAGATCATGCTGACTGATGTAAGCTGAAGTTTTCTGGGGGATGAATTCATGCATGTCGTGACCATTGTAAGTCACTCTCCCTGAAACCTTGAGATTGGGATCCAGCCTTCCAGCCAAAGATAGCAACAGTGTTGTCTTCCCAGAGCTCGGAGGACCCAATAGCAGAGTCATTCTGCCGGGCTTGATGACTCCACTTACATCGTTGAGGATTGTCAGATGTCTCTTTTTGTTGGGTAGGAGGTGGAACATGTCCAAGATACCCTATTTCAGATTGAGAATCAAAAGATTTATCGCCAGTTCCATGGAACATTCAGCTGGAAAAAATTTAAGCAAAGAAACGAACTTCCATTTGGATGAGTGAAAAAAAGTTTACCGTGAAGATCCCTATAGTGAAATTGGTGAAGGTGGGCAGAGATTTGCTCCCAACTGTAGCTACTGCTTCAACGTTGAGATTCTCGTATCGAACTTCGATCGTAGGTAGTTCTACTCCAACCCTTTACACACAAAAACAATGCCCAAATTCAGAATCGGGAAAAGCAGAGAAAATACGAGAAAAGAAAAACAGAGTTCCCCCCTGTTCTCAGTCTAGTTTCCTTCTAGTTCCCATATACAAAATTCACACTCTAATATTAATTCTACAGAAAACATAACCTTTCATCGATCCTCTAAGCCTCTAAAAAGGGTAGGATCGCAGCATGCAGTAAGATTTTTCCACACTTTCAAGCTAACAGCTAAAAAACAGAGTTCCTCTGTTTCTTGTCCAACCAGAAAACAGAGCAAGCAAAAAAGCACCAACCTGTCAATTCTGTTCTTGAGCTTCATCAAGAACTTCTCGTTATCCTGGTCAGCAACCTGAACCAGCCGATCGAGGAGAACTTTCCTTTCCTCGACGCCGAGATTTTGTACATCGATCTCGCTGAGCTCAGTCTTGGAAGCGCTAGCCAGTATGCCTTTCCTGAGCCGATCGTAAGTGGGGAGCTTCTCCAGAGCAGCCCACTTCAAAGCTTCTTCGTCGTCTTCTTCCCTCGAAGAAGCCGAGAAAACATCCGACGGATTGTTTCTCCATACGGAGGCCGACCCGCCTCGCCGCAGACTGTTCCTTGCTTTGAACAGGTCGCCACCCTCCATTTCTGGGGCGATGTAGCAATAACCAGACCCAAAATCAAGAACGGCTGCTGCAGGAGATGCTGAGGTGGTTGTTGAACAAAATGGGAGTGTAGAGGAAATGGGATGGAGGAAGGGTTTTGGGGAGGTGAGAAAGATGGCCGTTTCTCTGTTGTTGAGAATGGGAAGGAAATCGAGGTTTCTTTATACGGGGCGGGGGGCGGCGGGACGGGAGATTATTAGTCGTTTCTGATGGCCGTACCGTTGTGGCGGCAATTGAAAAGTCAAGCTCGGACTTTGAATTATGCGTGGGCTCCACTTATTCCTTCCTTGCCCTCAAGTTTGCAAAAGAATTTGTTTGGGGACTATTCTGTAATGTAATGGACTCGCATTAATTATCTCCCATAATCACGCGTGCGGCCAACAAAACAAAGTACGTAAGTGTGCTTAAATTCCATCCGCCCGGCGGCCAAGAAATAGAGGCTTCAATTTCACGTCGGCCGTGTCTCTGCGTCCTGTTACATAATGGGTTGTGTTGTGCCCTCCATCAGTCTCTTCCTTTTAACTAATGCAAATGACTAATCAGAGAAATAAAAAGAATGTTTCTTATGGGCTATGATTTCCCAGTCCCACCAACATTCCATCTGGACAGTGGAGGACCCAGGAATTTATAATAGGGGTATCCGCGTTCAAAATAAAATAAAAATAAATTAAATAATTCTTAAATAAGAAAAGTATCCTAATAATATTCAACAACACAAATATTTGGTTAATACAAGTTACAACAAATTCCCACGTCATGCTTTCATATTCTGAAAATATTATAAAATACACTTCATGTCTACAGTATTCAGCAAATCTCTTTCAATATATCCTACGAGACAATCATTCACAAACTGATCGCCTAGTCGATTCTGAAGCTTGTTCTTGATGTAACTCAAAGCTGAAAAGGTTCTTTCAACACTTGCAGTTGCAACCGATAAATTCAATACAACTTTGAGAAGCAGGGTTGAAGCTTGATGGAAGCAGGGTCTCATTTTTTGCGAAGTTGGATCTGAGTCGTGTTTAGTTTTAGGGTTTTGTTGTCAAATTGTGGATAAAATTAATATGTTTATAAGTATTAGTTTCTTAAAATCAAAGTAAGATATTAGTTGTAGTGTAATGGAAAACATGTTAGCTAATAACTAGGTGTCCCAAGTTAAAATCCCATTAGCTACTATTTTTTTTTTCTTTTTTTTTCCTAGGCTCAAACTACTACCGGGGATTCAATAAATTTTCTCCGAAATTTTAGGGGTGTCCGGGGACACTCCCAATCCTCCCTGGTCCGCCCCTGCATCTGGAGATCCGGTAGTTAAAGATGCATAAAGAGCATTGCATGAAAAAGAGACAAAAAAAAGTTACTTTTTTTTTATTTGTGATATTTGTTTAGTTCTTAAGTATTCTTATATCTAGGACTGGTAAATAGTAATCCCCTTAAAGGTGTAACTGATAACTGAATCGGAACATGAACTGGTGTTTGTCGGTTACATCGATAATCGATTAAATTATAAACGTTCGATTTCCAGTAATCAAATTTTACTAATAACTAGTCGATGGTTAAATGGTTAACCGACTAACAGGTGACAACCATCCTCATAGTTAGAGCAAATAATAATAGACCTCCAAATCACTCGGTCAACGGTTATTTTGAAAAATTAGTTATTTTTTATTCAATGATAACAACTTAAGAAAATAACACATGCATATGTATGAAAAATTATAGAAAATTTCATAATTGAAAGAAGTAGGTCTTGTGTTGGTTAGGTTATCGATAAGTTATTTTGGTATAACCTTGCCGAATCACTTGGTTAACGGTTATTCGGTTAACTGAAAAATAACCGAGAATCGACTATATGATTATGGTTAACCGACTAATTTAAATGGTGCAGTTAACGGTAAGCACAAAATGCTTAACAATTTCGATTATAATTGAACCGAACCAATTATCAGCCCCACTCATATCATTTGGTCATCCCAGTATTTTTATTTCATCGTTTTTACGCTAGTTTCTTTACGCTCAAATGATATGTTTGATGATTGGTGCATTTTTTTCTTCAATATGCGATTTTTCATCATCCTCTTTTTATTCATTCTATCATTTTCCCTATTATGTCGTGTTTTTTCCATCATTTTTAATTCAATTGTTTCTACACCAATTTCTTCTCCCTCATAATAATTTGTCAGCCGAATTGCCAAGTTTTTTTCATCCTCTTTTTTATTCATTATATTATTTTCTCTCATTTTATTATTTCTACATGTTTCTTCTCCCTCCGATAATTTGATTGCCGACTAGCCAAATTTTTTCCCAGCCTCTTTTTATTCATTATATCGTTTTTCTCTCCTTCTTTTTGTTTTTCATTCCGGTGTTTATATCGGTTTCTTCTCCCTCCGATAATTTACTTAATGACTAGTCAAGTATTTTTCTTTTTCCTTTTGTATTTTTTCCTATCCTTGTTTGTTTCATTGTTTTTAGTTTTTACACATGTTTCTTCCCCTTGAAATGATTTGCCTTGAGACTGACCAAAAGAGGTCAAAGATGAATCTCTGACAAGTCAGAGGTGTTGATCAAATCAACGAGGAGGGGAGATTGAAGCATCGAGCGGAGATGGTTTTCCCCTTCATTGTTTATTTTATCGTTTTTGCGCCAGTTTTCGACCCCTCATCGATGATTTGACTGACGACTAACAAGTTTTTTCTCTCTTCGTGTCGTATTTTTCTTATCCTTTTTTGTCTTCCATCGTTTCTACACCACTTTCTTTCTCCTAAAATGATTTTCCTAGCGACTGTCCAATGTTTGTGTTCTTTTTTCATTTTCCCGTCCTTTTTTAATTGTGTCGCGTCTACACATGTTTCCTCTTCCAATGATTTGCATTGTGATGTGTCAAACTAGGCCGAAAATGAATCTCCGACATGTTAGAGTTGTCGATCAAATCAACAAGGAGGAGGAGCATTGAAGCAACAAGTGGAGATGATTTTCCCCATCGTTGTTTATTCCATCGTTTTACACCAGTGTTGTCTCCCTCCAAAAAATTATCTGTATATCCTAAAAAATACATCATTGACCGACCAAGGATGACGAGTACTAGAGAAGGATATTCACTTCAAAATCACATTCGACTTGATATTTGCTTCCATAAACATATTTTTTAATGACTTAACTGGACAAAGTCTTTTTCCAAGTACTTTGCCAAGTATCTGAGTGATAACTTGCCTTGCTTGAAAAAATAATTCATCATAAATAAGAAGGAATAGACCACATGATAGCTTATGCTATGAAATATCAGTATTTACTAGTGTTATTAAGATCGGATCGAGCCGGCCGGCTGGACCACTAAAGCCGTCACCCAACCGCAAAACCTGTTCGGGCTAGTCATTTAGCCGCTACGGTTTTATGGAGCGGTCGATGCGGTTAACCGCTCGAACCGGTCGCTCGGTTTTTTCCCCTTCCGGCCGTTCTGTTTAATAAAAGAAAATTGAAAATTAAAAACAAAAGGCAAAATCATGGGGATGCAAAAGAAACCCTAACTCTAATTCAGTCTTCGTCTTCGACTCTTCGTGAACAGAGGGAGAAGAGCGGCGCCAGACCCTGCCGTCCTCAACACTTCCTGTCCCGGCTTCCCTCGGCATCGTCGGCATCCCTAGCCAGCGTAGCAGCTCCCAGCTCGTCATTGCCAGTCTCAGTCCCCGTCCCCTCTTCCTGTAGCAACTCCTCCACTCCATCGTCACTTCCATCTCGGCGCTTCCCGTCGCCATCCTCGCCATCCCTGTAGCCGCTCCCGGCTTCCCACTCGCATGTTTTGGAATTGTTAAGAATTAAGAGTGTAATTTACTAGTTTAGTCATGGTTTACCACGATTAAGAGGTGTCCACTATTTATACTGATTGTTTGTTAGGTATCGATTTTCTAACAATTTTTAAACGGTTTAATGCCGGTTGGATTACTAAAAACTGAGTCGTTCACGTTATCGGGTCATACTCCGATTCACTTTTGACAATTGGTATTTATATAGCCACACACTCACCTTAATGGATTTTTGTTTAGAAAATAAAAAAGAATCATTTTTGTTTTTATTTTATGTCATGATCTTACATTGTTTTCATGCAAGTTAAGTGTTGTGTCTTGTGTCCACTAGACGTTTTCTTTGGCATTATGAAGTTGGTCATAGGTCAATTCAAGAACGTGATAATATCCCCGCGATTAGTTCCTCCTAGCTACAAAAAGATCCATCATTTGAAAATGTGACAAGTGAATTACTGGGTTGATCTAGGCACTATATCAGTAAACTTAATTACGATTGGGTGATTGAAGTCCAAAATTCCAATGGCTATCTATCTACTCTGTGTTTGAATTGAATTGAATTGAATGTGTATAATACTAATGCCATGCATTAATTAATCCAATCATCAGGCTAGCCTGTCGTCGGGAGCGGTTACGGTGCTAATTGTACAATAGTTAGCACCGTCCTAACCAAGGGAAAAACTACCACTAGTTTGAATTAGTAGTGATTTAGCTTAAATGTTGTATTGATTTTATAATAATCCGTCTACTAGTTTGAATTAGTAGTGATTTAGCTTAGATGTTGTATTGATTTTATAATAATCCGTAGTGATTTCGTTATTTTTAGTAGCGTTTTTTACTAGTTATCACGGTGTTAACCCCTATCTATCTATCTATCTATACATAATATTATGGCAATTCAAAAGTAATTGTTTGCCACCTAAGCACTTGGAGAGTTCACAAATTGCCAAGGTGGACAATATTTTTACAAAAAGAAAAATAGTTATTGATATATTTATGGAGCTATCTCTCTCTTCATTTAATATTTCATTTCTCTTTTATCATTTTTTTGTATTATATCAATGTACACAATAATAAATAATGTATGAAAAGTGACATATATTACATTTGTTATCTCTAACTTTTTTAATATTTATTTTTATTTTCCAATACTTCCTTAATGTTTTTTTTTACTTTTGCATTGTATCGATGTACGCAACAATAGACTAATGTCTTTGAGTCACACATATAACTTTTTTCTCAACAAAAAAAAAATCTTATTAAAGCTCACTAAGTAAATTTTTAACTCACTTTTACAATAATTTACAAATATGTTACATTTTAATGAACAATATATACAAACACACATACATAATAACATTTTATCGCAAAAAAATAAAGATGGAAATTAAAGAGAGAAAACAAGAAACGCTTGAATAGAAACTTGGCCAAGCAATAAAATCTATTTCTTAAACAAAAACCTTATTCATTCTAATTAAGTGAAGACCTATGAATCATAGGTGCAATAATTTACAATGTATCCTAAGTTCAAATTACTAATATTTTGCATTTTTGCTCTAGATCGTGTTAATTGAGCAAAATCTACTGAAGTTTTACGTCATATGTTAAGAAATTTAATTTTCAAACTTGGAGTAATAAATTTTCAAGGATTATAAATCAAAATTTTTAAAATGACTTTGGTATGATTGTTTATGAACTTGACTTCATATCTTAAGATGAGACACGATATACAGTATAAAATGATACATCTGAAAGTTAGATGAATCGTTGCTAAACTGTATGTTAAACATCATGTGTTCATCAACCACTGACCTATGCATTAATCAAATAAAGGTTTAAAATCTATCTATCTGTCTATCTATCTATCTATGACAATTCAACAATAGTTTTTTGCCACATAAGCACTTGAAGAATTTACAAATTATCATGGTTGACACTTTTTTTACAAACACAAAAGTAAGTTAATGCTCAATTTATGTAGCTATCTCTATCTTCATTTAATGTTTCCTTTTGTTTTTATTTAATAATTCATTTGTACCTTTTGTAGTATATATGTGTAGCAGCAGTATACTAATGTTTAGAGGCTAACATGTATCGCGATTGTTTAAACAAAAATATTTGAATAAATCTTATTAAGAAAATTTTCAGTTTACATCATATGCTAAGTAGGTGTTAGGCCATTACCTTTTGATTTTTCGTTAGGAGAAGAAATTTTGAGTGAAGGAAAGCAAAACCAAATAACGGGTGTTAAATGCAATAGAGAGTGGAGATACCCGGGTAGACGAAACTAACTATGTCAACAATTTGGTGGCGCATGTGAGAAATGGTGCAGGAGGACAATTTAAAATTCAGCTGGCGATGTTACTATATGGGCCGTGAATTGGTGGACAAAGGTGAGGATTGGACAGAACAGATCTGGTATAGAACTTTAGTAGCGGTCGTGACAAAATGTAGGAGGAGACAACTTAGCAATTGATACATATAGAGTAAATAACATTTAAATAGCTAAACCTTTCAATTTTTTTAAATTATTAGCCAAACCTTTTGAACTACAAATGATTAGCCAAATATTTTGTATCACATCAAAATATTAACCATTTTTTTGTTATCATTAATAATCTTTTTAATTAAAATACTAAATTGGATTATAGTCTATAGACCGTCACGTGTCTCTTCCAACTCATCATCATGTTGTTGAGTCAACATTACTAACAAAAATGCTAACGGGGAGTTAACGTTTGGCTAATACTTTGTATTTTGAATTTTTTTTGAAAGATTTGGTTAATAAAATGTATTTACTATGTTATATACTAAATTTGGGTCTCTTGATAGACATATGTTAAAATAAGATCGTTAGGAGACTTCGTGAACATCCACATGAAAATGAGGCAAGATTAGAGAAGTTGATCATCGGTGTGATTTTTCTTAGCAAACACATGCATTTTTTTTTTTTTTGCAATAAAACACATGCATAACTAATAATATATTTACGGAATAAAATAATTTGATAAAAATTCAATGGAGGAATCACCTCATGGATAAATGAAGATGATAAGTAAGAATAACTTTTCTCTCACTTATAATGTGTACTTCCATCCCTTATTTTCTTTTACAATTGTTCATATTTCCCCTTATTTGCTTAACATTTTACAAATCCCGGTAAAAAACAAGTATTAATTACACTTAAAAATAATTAAACTCTTTTTAATATATATTCTATATATTGACAATAAATGTGGCCATACAAAAAAATGCATATATTAGTATAAGTAATGAAATTTTTATTTCTAAACAAATACCAAACATAAATGAAGTTTAGAAAACGAAGGTTCTACAAATTGTAAAATTATACACTAACGCACCATATTAAGATCAAAATCCGTATGTGGGTATCTTGGATTGAGATTCTAAAATAATATATAAATAACGATAATGAGTCTCAGTTAGTCCAAATTAAATTTCAGAAATTAGCAATTGATACATATTGTATAAGAAACTAAATACAAATAAGATCTTACAGTAAACTTCATGAACATCCAAAATATCAACTTTTAATTGGGATGAAGAAATTTATCCAATAATGAAGTATATGTACAAAGAAACTCTAACTAAGATGTCCTCATCTGAACAACGTGGATTCATATAAGATAGAAAAAATTGTACATGGGACGTGATATACCTTTGTGACATGGTTTATGATTAGAGAATTCAAACATTATAAGTGAATGTGCCAAGTATTGAGAATTTTCAATATATAGACACACCACATACTCACTTATCAATACAAAATATAATAAATTTAGAAGGTCCAAAATAGTTTGAACATATAGATAAATTGAATTAATGTCAACGATAAAATGAAATTTTCCGGCCAACGGGCCGGGTAAAAAGCTAGTAAGAGTTAGCACCTAATCCCATTCCCCTGTCGTCCTGAAAGCAAGTGCGGACACCCAGAAGGTCAATAAAATATGTGAATGATATCACTGCTGACCACATAATAGAATTTCAAGCAAAAAAAAAAAAAGGGCGAAAGGGAATAAACTAAAAACTAATAAAGAAGTCAACAAGACATCGTTCCATTCTGGATGCTCTGCTGCTGCTTCCTCCTCCTATCCATTCAAACGTCATGCCTAGACTTCGACTGGATATATATATTTGACTATTTGTTATTTTCCAAACCTCATATTTGTTTTTTTTTGTTGATGATGATCTATATTGAATGATTAAAAGTAATTAAACAATGATACAGGGCAGTGCAGCGAAAGGGCTGTGACTGTCACCAGCACTATGCGCTGCAACAACCAAACCGAAAATGCAAAATGCAAAATGCAAAAAGTAGGATAAAGCCAAACCCCATGGCCCACACGGTACAACCCCACCCCGAATCACAAAAGCAGAAAGTCAAGCAGCAGGGGAAGAAACAGAGAAAAGCAAAGGAAAACGAAGGCATATATCACCTTCCTGACTACAGAACCAATACATCATAGCTTCACTCTTCAGGGACCTGGGGAAATGCTGCCATCTACAGGATTGTATCATGGGCATGAGACACGACCTGTTGGGAATTATCAGGGAACAATCTGATCCTCAATTCTTTAGTCCACCTTTCCGCGATCTCTTTGTCGACCTTCCTTGCTGCAGTTAGCCACCAGCAAATCATGTAGCCAATCTTCAACACTATTGAGGGAACGTTGCACACCTGATCGTTGAAGATTCTATTGTTTCTTTCAAGCCACACACACCAACAGTATGCATGTAGTACTACTTTTGAGCACCATTGGGCTGGATTCGTCGGATTCCTGCGCGGCCAAACTCTGATCCTCTCCGAGATGTCATTCCCTGTCGCAGTATTTTCTTCGATTTTGACGAAGCATTTCACCCTTCCCCATACCTGTTTTGCGAACGCGCAGGAGATAAACAGATGATTGGGCGTTTCTTCATCTCTTTTGCACAGAACACACCTGTTCGGGATGTGGAAACCTTTCTTCTTCAAGTTGTCGATGGTGAGAATCCTTTTGTGATAAACCAGCCATAGGAAGATGCAAATCTTATTCGGTACGCTGTTTTGCCAAATCGTTTTTGTAGGGAACTCTGGATTCTCCCTCATTCTCGCAGCGGCTAGATGTTCAAACGCCGAGTGCACGCTGAACCCTTTTGAAGGAGATGGGATCCATCTTGGTCTTTCAGGACCTGCAAAAAAATTTTGAAAAGGAATAGAGTGGAGTAATTCAAGCAACCTCACCCGCTCACTTTCAGCCCCACCCCGGAGTGAATAGATCAATGGAATATCCCATTGACAGTTTCCCTCAGACAAAGACAAGTATTCAGCAATGGTGGCGCCCGGTGATTCGGCAGCAGCAAAAACTCTCGGGTACTCTTCCGCCAGTCGGATGCCTTCGATCCAGGTATCAAACCAAAACGAAGTCCAGTGCCCTTGACCATGTTCGATGCGCGTTAATTCCCAAAACAGAGGCTGCAATTTCGCAATCCTGCCCCACACGCTACCCCCAACACTGCCTAGAACCTTTCCTGAGAACCATTCTGACTGTTCATTAGGAAACTTTGCAGCTATCATTTCCCTCCACCATGATTTTCTTTCCGTTGCAAATCTCCAATGCCATTTGAGTAAGAGAGCTCGATTATTCAGCTCCAAGTCTCGTATACCCAAGCCTCCCTTATTCTTTGATGTTTTACATAGCTCCCAAGAGACGAGATGGAGCTTCTCCCCTCCCTGTGTACCGGACCAGAGAAAATCTCTTTCAATCCTCTCTAAGGAGTTGATGACGTTCTTAGGGATTAAGAACAAGGAGCTAATGTAGTTACTCAAAGTTCCAAGGACCGCATTGATAAGCACGACTCTTCCTCCCAACGAGAGAAATTTTCCTTTCCAGCCTTCCAGTCTTGCTTGTGTCTTTGTCACTACATTGTTCCAATATGTATTCGATGGAGACTGCTGTCCGAGGGGCACACCCAAGTATGTTGTGGGCAAGAAGGCCCAATCACAACCAAATATCTCCACCAGTCTTTCAATATTTGTTACCTCGCCCACCGGGAATATTTTTGATTTCGCAAGGTTTAATTGCAGGCCGGTAATTGCTTGAAAACAGATTAAAGCAGCCAACAAATTACGAACCTCGTCTTCGGATGCTTCACAAAATAGGATGGCATCATCCGCATAAAGTAGATGAGTCACTTCTCCAACATTTCTTTCTTCGTTGATACAGAATCCCGTGATCATCCCTTCTTTCTTTATTTCACATAGAATGAACGAGAGGATGTCCATACCAATGTTAAAGAGGAAGGGTGAAAGGGGATCACCCTGCTTAACACCACGACTCATCCCAAAAAAACCCGTAGATTCTCCATTAACAAGTATGGAGAGTCTGGACGATGACAATAATCCCTCAATCCATTTCCGAAACCTCCGATGTAAGCCCAGATGCTCAAGTGCTTTCAAGATGCTCGTCCAGCTGATAGAGTCGAAAGCCTTTTCGATGTCCAATTTAATTACCACACCCGGTTTTCCACTTCTTCTGCGGCTGTCGATTACTTCATTAGCAATAAGACAAGATTCATGTATTACTCTACCCCTCTTTCCTGCGAACTGATAATCAGATATTAGGCTGCTCATGTGGGGCGAAAGACGGTTGAACAAAACCTTTGCAATGATTTTGTTCAAACTTCCAAGTAGACTAATAGGACGGAAATCGGACACCATTTCAACCGACTCCTTCTTGGGCAGGAGACAGATAAAGGCATGCGCTGTCGATTGTGGGAGAGTACCGGTAAGAGAGAACTCATCAACTGCCTTCAGTAGGTCTGACTTGATGATACCCCAAGCTTTCTTATAGAACTCCAACGTAAATCCGTCTGGCCCAGGAGCCTTACTCCCGTTACACTGCTTAACTGCCTCCCAAACTTCCAATTCCGTGAAGGGCTTCACTAGTTTTTCATTGTCCTCTGGTGAGAGCAAACATTCTCTGTATTTGGCTGGAAAAACTCTATCTTCCTCCACCTCCACAAATTTGCCCGAGAAATGACTGTGGAAGGCACTTTTAATTTCATTCCCATCCTCTGATGCTCTGCCCTCAATCAGCAGCCTCTTAATTTTATTTTTCCTTCTGTTAGCCTTAGCAACTCTGTGAAAGAATCCAGTATTTTTGTCTCCCACCTGTAACCAAATTTCTCTAGACCGCTGCCTCCATGAAATTTCTTCCATGATTAAAACCTTCTCAAGTTCACATTTGAGAATATCTCTTTCCGCTACCGACACCGGATCAATCTGTCCTGCTTCTTCAGCATTATCGATACTCTTAATCCTGAACAATATATTGGCGATTCGCTTCTCAACTCTCCCAAAGTGTTCTCGATTCCATTGTTTGATCATTGCTTTGGTCTGCCTGCATTTTTGCCCGAATCTGAACAAGTAACTCGACCCATTAACTGGTATACACCACCACCCCACAACATTCTGCATAAAAGAGTCTTCTTGGAACCACATATTTTCAAATCGCCAAGGATGAATGAATCGTTCACTTGAACCCCACTGTAATCGGATCGGGTTGTGATCTGACTCCACACGGTCAAGGGCAGTCAAAGTTTCTGGAGATATCAAGTCTTCAAAACTTGAGTTGATGAGCGCTCTGTCAATGCGGGAAGAGGAACTCTCCCCACCTCCCCTGCTCCACGTGAACTTGGCCCCTTGTAGCGGGATATCCACTAGATTGCACCTATTGATCACGTTATTGAATTCATTCACGATCTCCATATCTCTTGGACTTCCTATGTATTCATCCACTGATCTTACAAGATTGAAATCGCCTATGATGCATAATGCAGCCAAGTATTCCCTGCAGACAGACTCGATTTCCTTGAGGAATTCGAGTTTCTCTCTTTTGTCTTGAGGTCCATATACAACCAGGAAGGATATAATCTCCTCTGTTTCAATTACTTTCAGACGAACCGCTAATGAAAATTTCCCTTCCCATACCGTCAAAACCTTGTAGGTGGTAGGTTCCCAAAAAATGACGATGCCACCGCTAGCTCCAATTGAATCTTTGGCGACCCACTCACTGGACCTGCTACCACTTACTGACGAGATCAAACTGTTATCACACTTCTGCCATTTGGTTTCCATGAGGCCCACTATGGTAGGTTTCCATCTCTTCAGCAAACGTTTGATTTTTGCCCTCTTATTCGGATTGCCCAGCCCCCGTACGTTCCAAGCGATGAAGGAATGAGACATGATAAAACTGAGCCGTAGGCAGTAGGAAGAACCGACACGCTAGGTTGCATGACTAGAGCGGTTTCGAGCTCTGGAGACTGGGGGAGGTTGGTCCAGGCCAAGACGTCGCAGTTCCATTTCCAATTTAGACCTTGCTTCTCTCTTTCTCTTTCGATGGGTATCTGCTGCAATTGACGCGACCTTCTGTTTCGCGTTATCCATAGAGATTGAATCCGTGAGCTTCAGTATAACACAAATCTTCATACTCTGATCAATTAAGCAGGTGAGGTCTTGCTGGTTACGCCAATCTTCGAGATATTCGTAATTGACAGGGTTGAAAGGGATGATAGCTAAATGGTTTTGTTCCATGTGGTCAGGGGAACCGGGCGGGGAAGAAATTTCAATGTCGAATTCAGGGTCGCTCGGCGAGAGACTAAGGTTTGCCGCCGGTGGGCTTGGGAGGGGATTTTCAGTCTGAGAGGGTTGAATTTCTGGAGGAGGTGGGGGAAGAGCGGGGAAGGAGGAGGTCGGGGTAGGAAGGAAGGGGGAAAACGGGAGGTGGAGGGTGATTGTGGGTGGAATGACAAGTGAAAGGAGATTGAGTGCTGCATCCACGATGAGGCTTGGGGAATACGACGTGGTATTTAGAAGTATGATGGAAGGGTTGGGTCTTGGAGGTGGACCGGGGGGGTAGACAAGGGATTGGGCCGGCCCAAAGGAGAAGGGAGAGGTAGTGGATGGGCTAGGGCCCCTGTAGAGTGAAGGGAGGGATATAGATTTGGAAACTGGACTAGGGCCCGCACCGGGTGTAGACAGGGATTTGGGCTTGGGTAAAGGGCCTTCTTTTCGAACCCAGACCCGATTCTTCTTCCCCTTGCTGACCTTTGCTACCTGGGAGTTGGGAGTATGAAGAATTTGCCTGCGGAATAAAGGGACTGGTGGAAACGAAGCGTCACTGGATGGTCTCGAGGAGGTATCGCCGCCATCACAACTTGGAGCCCGAGAAAGCTCATCACCCAACATTTTACTTGATTCGCAATTCTGAAAAGTTTTATCCAGCAAGAGGCGACGGTTCAGGTCCGCCGTCGGGTCGATAGCGGCCGGCGCCGGCAAGATTTTTACGATGAAAACCGTCGTCCCAAATCTTATCGGTACTATTTCTGGAATTTTCTTCCTTGGCCGGACCTTGATACGAACACACGGGTCTGTCCACGAGTTCTGATCAATATCAACAAATTCCCCACAAATTTTACCGATGTTTTCCAGTGTCTTTGACGAACGTAAGAAGGGAGGGATTCCGAATACCATGACCCATTGCAGGCCGCCCGGAGGGACATAACTGCGCCCGTCAGCTTCTCCCCAGAACCTTAGTAGGACGTTCCATTCTCGGAACATGGCATGACCGTCTTCCTGAACTCTAATGGCTTCTGATATGGATGAGCAGATTAAATACCACAGGTCCCCCTTCCTGTTAGAGAAAGCTGCTTCATTCGACAACCCCCAACGCTTTCTGGCCCAGCTTTCGAAGTCTCCAATCAAACCAGACGGAAGCCCCAAGTTCTTATTATTGTAGAAATTTATCATTAGGCAACGATCTAAATATTGCAGCCTGTCATTGACTCCATCTTCTTCCACCTCTAGGAATGCTTGGGACTTGTGATACTTGACGTAGCTTCTCCCTATCTCGGAAGGAAATTCCATTTTAACAGCATCAGCGAAGGATTTGCCTTGTACTACCCAAGCACTACGCGCAAAACAGTTCCTCGGAATTGCCTTGGGAATTGGTCGACAGAGTCTATTAATCACCCCTTCCCATTCGCTTGGAATGAAAGGGATGGAGATGAAAGACAGAAACCCACACTCCGACCTTTCGGAAATTTTAATGAAGTTTCCTTTCCGAGATGCAAATCTAGCGATCTGAATATTCCGAGAGGATCCTTTCTTCTGACGAGTAGCTTTCACATCCCATCCCACTCTGGAAATTTCCCGTAACGATCTGCCGAGCCACTCTGCTTGGGAGGTTTCCACATATATAGACCCCTTCCGGCGGCCACTTTCAGAGGTACTGATCCTGACGAAATCCCTTTTCCTTGTAGCGTAATCTTCAATGGTCACGGTCGTGAACTCGTTTCCCTGCCTGAATTGAAAAGCGTCCGATCTTAGCTGCGAAGAACCCAAGAACCTACGGTCATCATGCTGCCGAACCGCCGCTGAGTACCTGCAAGAAAAAAAACTCTCACCCCCCGACTCTCTCTCTCTGACTCTCTCTCTAACTTTCTCTCTCATCTCTCCAGTTACAATGCATATCAAAAAAACCTCATATTTGTTACTAGATAATTGTTCCCGACGGGATCATATATTATTACATTATTATAGATCGATATTTTATTATCGTCATTTTCAGATTTATTGTGTCCGCAACCTGCTATTTGAAGGTTAAAACGGAAAGTCAGGTGCTGGTGTTCACAAACTTTTTTTAGCACATTCACACAGAAATATTGTTGTACAATTAATGTCCTAATTAAGTAAGTTCTTTGAATATTTTAGCACATATCATGCTCCAATATGTTGTTTGAAATATATCCCAACTGTGTTGTATGAATATACCAAGAAGTACAAAGATGAAGAAAATAAAGGTAACATTTAGTTTGGTAATTCTACATATCTAATTCCAAAAATATTACATGTATAAATACATCGTGTGAACGTGGTGCAACAACAACAACGGTATGAAATGCTTATGCTATGCAATGGGTTGGCAGCTTATGTAATTGTTTTCTGGCGAGAAAACTAGAGTTGAACGGAATAAAATTGCATATTTGACTTCTTACCAAACAATCAATAAATACGGTCTATACCTCCTTGAACAAAGTTCAAATGAGGGTGTTTGATATATCTACAAACTCACGAAACAAAACTACATTAAATTAACCCTACTTAAATGGAGGTTCGGTGAGAGGTTTAGAGACTGCGAATATGGCTACAATTTATTGAGGAAAAGAGAAAAAAACTTGACAAGTGGTGTCGAGTTGTGATTTTTGCAAACCCCAGCCATGTCATCTTCACCTGCTATTTATAGCCATATGAAGTAACTGTCTCATGAGACTGCTTAGCTGACATGGAGTAACGGTTATCCTCTTAACTGCTCTGACGATGCCCTGACATTGGATGTGTCACCCTCTTCAATCTCGACCCCATCTTCTTCATAGCTTCTTCTTAACATGGGGTTTCAAATGAGAAAAACGATTTAGGCATGAAAACACTCTTGCCCCATATGGATGGGTATTAGAAATGGGTCAAAATGGAATGAATAATTCACCACTTACGACCACAAGAATGGCAGAGGTTACCCTCTTGCCACTTGATGTCATCTCCCCACCTCATCATCTTAGGGGGTACTTCATCGCCGAAACTCTCCACGTACACTTAGCCAAATTTCACCCTCACGGTATTGCATTAGAAGGGTATGTTGATTACCCCTAGTCACACCAGGAGGGATGCTCCAAAAATCCAATCTACACGGCGTATCTTAATTGATTTTAATTATTATCAACTAAACTGACCTTATAAAGTCATTAATTCCTTATATTTAATCGATGTCGTACAAGTTTGATTTTTTTTTAAATGATAAATTTGTGTTATTATCTATTGTATAAAAAATTTATCTATTTCTAAAGATTTGTGTAATATTATTCTACAATTATTATGTAAGATATAAATACATTATCCAAAGACTACAAACTGAAAATTACCCCTTAATAACAATTTAATCTAATGTTTGCGTAATGGCTTGGTGTCAACCCAAGACATAAGACTTACATTAACCATACATACGTGAAATAATAAAAATGTATAAAGAGTTAGAGAAAAATAATTATTCCTTAATTAACATATTAACTAATAAGCTACGTAAGATAAGTAAGCCTTCCATAACAACTTAATATTTCATATAAATTAGTGTTTATACTTAATGTAAAAAATATTATCTATTAACTAAGACTTTACTCCCCAACTATTATCTAATATAAATAAATACGTTCCAAATTACACATAAACATTTTAACTCATACAACCTGGACCTGCAAACCTACTACATCATATTATATGACAGAATTGTTTATGTGGCAGAAATTACATCATATTATAATTATCGAATCACCATAACTATAACAAATTCAATACATAACAGGAATTTCGTAAGTTAGTAATCATAGAAGATAAAATTAGTATAACAATTCTACAATTGGTTAGCTTAAAGCCTTAAACTCTTCAGCCAAGTTTGGTTGCTTCTTCCGATTAGTTACCCTGCTCTTCTGATTCCCCAATTCCATCCGCCACAAAAGTCAACACAGAGTGGCCCTAATAATAACAACAACTAATAATTTGTAAAGACAAGGAAAGAAACAACTTATATAAAAGAGTAGAGGAGTCTCGACGCCACCATGTAGAGGTCAAAGTGGGGAATTTGGAGAGATTTATCTATAATTTAATGTAATTATTTTCCAAACAAATAATCGGTTGAGGAAAGACGTATTGGCCAATGCTTCCAAGACTGAACACAACGAGATCGACGTCTAAAATCTCAGAATTGAGGAAAGTAGATTTCTCATCGACTGCTAAGTTTCCGATCAGGAGAAAGTGAACTTATTGACGAAGCACAAGAGCAGAATCGACAGGTTACCTCAGCTGCATTTTGTTGCTTTGGTTGCTCGGAAAATAAAATAAACACTACCAGGAACAGGGAGCTGATTAAACCAGAGACAAAGTGAACATTGGGCTTAGAATTTGCACAGGCACAGATCCAGACACCATGTGTTTAACAGAAACGGATGAGGGTCACCGGGATTCGAACTAAACACCTCTTGATCACAGAATGCTATGATACCATGTCAAGAACCAGTTGATCCCAATAACTCGAGTTGTTGGGATCAACTAAAGACTTCTCGAACACAGAAGGCTCTGATACCATGTCAAGAACCAGTTAATCCCAATAACTCGAGTTATAGAGAGAGGTTTAATTG